ATGGCAGACCTGAAATCCTATATTTGAATTCTTGATTGAGAATGTATGCATAAATAAATAAATAAATAAATAAATAAATAAATGTTCTCGTAACATTTTTTAAAACCTAGCACATCAGGGAAAAGAACTTCGTGCTGTTTTATTTTCCAGTTGCTATGACCTTTTTTTTTCAAAAAACGAACAAACATGGGAATATTAAAACAAAAACTGACAAACAGAAATTCCAGGGCTTCTTTCTTACCACTTCAGGATTCTACTATATGACCATGTTTTGTTTGCATATCATGCCCCTTTCAAAGTGAGTACTGAAGTACTCTGAGTATAATATGAATATATTCTATCTCAAGCCACCTATCTTTTATTAATTTTGTAAGATAACCATGCACATCCATCCACCCATCCTTTTATGCATCTATCCCCATCATGCTATTCCCTTTCAGGGTAAGTAATATTACGCAAAGCAAAGAAAGGGAGTAAGAAATAGTAACCCAGAGAAACTGAAGACACGAGGGGAGGGAGGGAGGGGAGGGAAGATAGCTTAATCTAGTTTATACCAACAATTGCACTATGCTTCCTCATAGCTTTTCCATCCTCACAAAACATTCTTGGTTCTACCACATCTATATACCGCTTCATACATTATCTTTTTTGTTCTTTTCACCTCTTTCTGAGCATCTCATCAACTTCATCCAACTACTTTCTCATCTTTCCTTTCTCTTGACTAGGTCACTGATCCTTCATAAGTTTGATATGCCATTCAATCCTCATTAATTCTCTCCATATGGCTAAACTACCTCAACATACTTCTTTCACACTAGTCATTCATGTTTCTATTCCATTCGTATTCATTCAGCACTCATCCATTCTTCACCCTATCTCCTTCTTTTACTACAAATATTCTTATAATATTAAAGACTCTGATCCCACTGCATTCAACTTACTGTCATGTCTTTCCTGGTGCACCCAACTTGCACTTTTATATAACAAAGTGGGCAGAAGTACATTCTTACACACAACCATTATTGCTTCTTTCAACAAATATTCATTCCTTGCAACAAACTACATACCTCCCACCATGTTTATACCAGTATTTGTGTCTCATAAAATTTTCCAATTGTTTTTTTCCTCGTTAATAAATGTTCTACCAAGGGACACAAATTCATCAGCTTGCTGTGTTTTTATTCCATTTATGTATAACATTTTGCAATCATTCACCCCAGTTTCTCTGTCAAACACAAATTAAATATTTTGATCTTTGATACACTGTTTTTCAGATCCATACTTTTCATTGCATCATACCATTTATCTAACATTTACTGAGATCATTCAGGTTCTCAGAAACAACATGGCATTGTCTGCATACAAAACTGCATATACACTCACATTCTCAGTCAGCATACCTCTGACATTACAACAAACATTTGTAATAGATGCATCCATAAACACATTGAACAACTAAGGAACAATGTACATCCTTGTCTAACCCCCTGCTCAATGTTGAACTATTGGTTAAACATCTGATTTATTCTCATACATGCTTTATTTCCATCATATACTGCTCTTATCACATTCAGAACCATCCTTCAGTTCCATATTAATGCAAAACATTCCCTAATTCAAGACTATTCACTTTATTGAATGCTTTCTCTAAATCAACAAATGTACAATAAACTTTCATTCTCACACTCATGCATTGCTCAGTGAATATGCTGCTGAAATTTGATTAAAAATTACCAAAACAGGAGTGGTATGATTTCTTCCTGATTTTCAGGTGGGGGGAGGACAGATAAGATATTTGTTCCCCTAAAAAAAAGTGGACTCAAAATTCTGCCCTTGCTCTTGACTTTGACATTTTTATATCATTACCCTGCTCCCTGTGGTTGTTAGCCATTATAAGAAAATAAATATGTGTGGCTTCTGACTGCCAAATTGTTGCCCACCTTTGTAATAAGCAGAGGTACCTTTCAGGAGAAGCATACAAAGAATTCTTATAATCTAATAAATGCTGAAATCAGTTTCCAACATTTATGTAGATTACACTGAACAAACAAGAGGTTAGGAGAGACATTTTACAGATCTTCATCACTGAAATCATCAATTCAGCCTGAAAAATTCATAATAAGTATGCTTATTATTTTATTGTTGTAATGTTCTGTAAAGCCAATCTTTCTGCATTCTTCTGTTATGTAGTTTGGTTAAACAATGTGTCTACTATGCGTTGGCTAATCTAACATTTTTTTTATTTAAAAAGAAAACACTAAGACAAATAGTCACATTACTAATAAACAGACATGAACACATATTTCTTTGTTTCACCCTCTGTATGTTTTCAATCAGTGGGCACAATTCCACCCAAGTTAAGCACGTTTAGATCTCGCTGATTACAGTGGAATTATTTGGAAACCTGTTTTTTTTTTTTATAAAAGGAGGGGGGGGAGTAATCAATCAACTGAGACACAATATTTAAAAAAAAAGAAAAAGGAAAATGATGCATTCCAAAATAACATACCGTGTTTATGGTTTAATTTTTGATGGCCTCTCTCTGATGTTAATGTTGAAAAGCAAAGAGCATGTAGAAGCTATGGAGCCTTAGAGAAAACTCTA